AACTGGCAATACTATAAAGGTGCTGAAATATTATTCAAAACATACAAATTAATTTAAACTATATATCTATCTTTCTATATAAACAAAACTGAACTTTAACTAATAAGTAATAAAGAATAATTATGAAAATAATATGTGGAAAGTGGATATATATTGTAGTAATTTATAAATTTTAAAAATAATAATTTACCTTGGAAGCTCTTTATTTGACACAGTTGTAAAATAACAATGATAGGAGATTGTGCATCATGTTTGGCTAGAAAACTTTCGAAATCATCAACATAATTGTTCCACAGTGCACATTTAAGAGTGTTGCCTCTAAAAATGTACAAAATATTTTTGTCCAATAAGATGTCAGTGAATATACATGAATAAAAAATTACAAAACTATTAAACCAAAAAAGAAAAATACATACTCTAAATTCTGAAGAACCACCTCCATTAGGTTGTCTTTCCTTCCATTTTTCGATACGTCCTTCATTGGTTTTTTTTCAATAACATGACCAATGATATCTTAAAAACCAAAAAAAAAATATAATCTTTATAAATCAAAGAACTACATATGAATAAAATATGGTGGAATGTTAAAAAAATATTTATTTAACTAATGCAAGAGTGTTTTTGATTACCTATGAGCAAACTTTCATCTGCACCATTTATGACCTTGCTGAAACTCATAAAGTCGAAGCTCAGGGTAGGGATCATGTCGGCAGCAAACTCGGTGACCGTGGTAGCGCCTACAATGGTAATTTTATTCATATGTAGCGTAGCACGGTTAGTGGAATCATTTTGAGCAACCAACACATTACGGAACATGTAAGTTTTTCCTTCTTTCAAATTTTTTTTAAACTTGTTGAAGTGTTATTGTGTGACCGAATCTTGTATCTTCCCTCCCTGTCATAATTAGAAGACGTTATTATACATGTATACATTTATTCTACGTTTTTCGTGAGGTTTGGCCACGTTTTGGTGGCTACGGCGTGACTTTTGGAGGTGTTTTCCGGCGGAGATAGGTCGAAGGTGTGTTGACGGCCATTCTTTCCGACGGTGTGTAGACGGCCGCCGTTAGGGTTCCGGCAAATCTTGACGGCTAGGTTTTTTTTCCGAAGCCTTGGCGGCTAGGGTTTCGGTGAGCTTTGACGGCTAGGGTTTCTTGGTGGGCTTTGGCGGCTAGGGTTTGGGTAGATTAGGGTTAGGGAGACACAAGGGGTTAGGATTGAGGCGTCGCCTCAATGGTGCGGAAGAAGGCCGCGGTTGCGGTCGGGAAAGGGAAAGGTGTGGCCGGCAAAGGAGATGGCGTGGCTTCGGCTCCCCCCGTTGCAATTCCGGCAGTAGGTCCGATGGAGACGACGACAACATCCCCAATTCCACATGCCGAAACATCAAAGGCAGGTGAAATTCGGGGATCTACAACGGGGCTACACTCCGGCGATGGTGAACGAATGAATTGGTCCCAATTCTTCAAAGGAAACCCGCCACCACCGGAGGATTTGGCTTTGGACTCGGTGAAAGGATTGAACGACACGGACGTCCTTCGTTTTGAGGAAGCCGACGAGGTAGATTGGGGTACGAAAGGCGTGTTCTTGGCCGTTGCTTATTTTCCGGGGAAATTCCCCGGAGTTGACGCCATACGCGCAATCAAGGCACAATGGGAGGTCCCGGTGAAATTTCAAATTCATCGTACGGGGTGGATTGTGTTCAAATTCACAACGGACCAAGATCGAACGAAGGTGGTGGAGATGGGGAAGTTTGAGCAAGATCCAAAATGTAAACAAGAACCAAGCAACAACCACTGATCTAAAACCATAGATCTACCCCGAACTCACACTGAGTTGACTCACCAACACATACACAGTCAACTCAGTCACAAACTCACCCTCTCCACTCAGCACAAACCCTCCCTACTCAGCACAAACCCAGGTTTCCTAACTCAGAGTTCCTCAATCATTTACATAAGAGTATCAAGGTTTGAAAACACTCAATTTGAATAAAAGGTAAGTCACACTTCTCTCTCTCTCTCTCTCTCTCTCTCTCTCTCTCTCTCTCTCTCTCTCTCTCTCTCTCTCTCTCTCTCTCTCTCTCTCTCTCTCACACACTCTCTC